GCCAGGGCAGAGGAGGAGCGACAGAAGAAGACAGCAGATGCAGCAGAGGCAGCTGCACATGCGCAGGAAGAGCCACAGCAGAGGGAAACGGCAGAGGCGGGAGATTCAGCTGCACATGCCGAGGAGGGACAGGAAAATGAAGCGGCAAAGGTGGAAGGGCAGATGAAGCCCGGTGGCGATGGCAGCTGGGAGGCTTCTGGGGCAATCAGGTTGTGCTACGTTTGTGATCATCGTGTAGCTTTCAGAATTTTAGGAGGTTTGTGCCTGAAACAGCTGAAATGAACGACCTGGCAACTGAGACCCCTTGCAGGAGAGCTTGTTCTTAACTCTCCGAGAAGAAGCCGCCATCACCGACAGCCGGGACTCTGGAAGCATTACATACCGAGGAAACATCCGAGAGGGAGCAGAGAGCTGTTGGATTTCTTTCCCAGGCAGTCCCAGTGCCCTTTTTCGATTTGAAACCGGCGAAATGTGAAAACACTCATTGAAAGACACGTTGTGATCATGCGAGCTGGGGGTTGCGCTGTTGCATCTTGCCTTCTGAGGTCTCGGTGTGCATCTGAAGGATCCCAAAGTGCACGACTGGGACAAAAGCAGAGGCCCTCGGTATGAGATGGACGAAGAGTCCGGACAGATCAAATTCAGACCCGATGTGGTGAAGGACCCTAAGAAGCCAGAAGAGAAATGCTATTGCCACCGAATCTACGGCAGACGGGGTTGCAAGCAATTTGGGTATTACAGGGAGCTGCGAAGGCCTTTCACTGAACGGAGGGTGCAAGAGGAGGCTGCCACAGCCGAAGCGATGAATGCCCAATGGGTCAAAGAAGACGCCGATCCGAAGGTGAAGGCAGCAGCAAGAGAGCAAGCAAGGACCACATGGGAGGGACATGACGCTATCGCAGCTTGGGGCTGTGCTTGGTTTGAAGTGTGGTTCGATAAGGTCTCTGAAGCGGTCTCCAAAGGGCAACGCCTCAAAGCAGTCTTCTTCCCAGGGCAGGAGGGTCAAGGGATTGTTCCCATGGATGAGCTTCCGGAGGCAGACAACTGGGATGGGATTGGCTGCGGAGGTTCCCAAAAAGCAGAGCTTGCTACAGTGAACCAGCTCAGAGAGGAGCAAGGCCTATGCTGGGACTACGACAAAGTCAGCGTTGCAAAGTTCTTGCGGCAGGAATTTTGCAGACGGCTGTGTAGTTGACGGCTGGTGTGAGAAGGAACGTGCATGGAAGAGAGGCATTCTGGAGCATCAAGAGACCGAGGTGCGGAAGGAAGACAGGGAGGAGGAGGATGGGACACGAACGGTGGAGATTTCGGATGTTGTGTTCCAACTGCACTGCGAGAATGGCAAGTTGAGGACCAAGAACCTTCGCCACGTGGGCAGAATGATGAAAGAGACACTGCTGGAATATGGCCCGGAGCCCAGGACATCATGGATGTTCACTCACACATTTTGTAGCCGGCTTTCGCCATCATATTCACATATCTTCCCCGATAGACCCCCAAACCTCCGGCCCTAGCTCAGCCTAGCAGTCGGAAGCATTGTGTCGGATAGGGCACGCGTTGCGGCTGGAGTCCCAGTTCTCAGCCAGAGACTGTTGTGCACATACACAGTGCTAACCACGATAAGCACAGCCGTCATAATAAGAAAGCCTTGACTGCGACATGGGTGTGTTTATGCAACCTTATTATGCAACATGTGAGTGTAGTCATGCAGGGCTTTATCACTCAGCAGACATGGTGCACGGGCGCGGTGATTGCAAGCAACACAGATGCAGGTTTCCAGTCCTGCGAATGGCAGGTTTGTCAGTGCAGCGTAGTTAAGTCAGCAGTTCTATCTTCAACCATGCCGCTAGAAGAATTGCCTGACATTGCCGGGGCTCTTCCAGGACCCACTCACACCCCGACTCGGGCGCTGCCCAAATGCTTCAAAGCTTTCTTTCGGATCTGTTAGCAGCATGACAACGTGACGACGAACTTAAATCAATGGCTTTCGTACAGGCATAAGCTGCGGAGTTTGTACCACTTGTCAAATTCTTGAGCTGACTCAGGTCTAGACGACGTTGAACAGTCTGCTCGCGAGTGCTTGCAGGAGCTGGATGTTATGCTGCTGGGATGCGAGTTTGAAGATTGGGCCTTGCGTTTGGACCTTCGTATTCCAGATATACGCTCTCTTCAGGCACTACGAGATCAAGTGTTGGACGGCTCTTTCGAGAAAAAGTTGAAGGAGAAGTTCGCTTCAAATGCTCAGAACTTCAGGGCGCACGTAGATAAGAGCCGGTTTTTCAGTCTTTACGAGGATAGCTTGCGAGGCCTTGAGGGTCTCACAGCTCATCAGAAAGAGAAGTTGCACGAAATGGAGGGCGAGAAGGACGTCCATCTTTCTGCGCCTGCCGGTGCCGGGAAGACGTTCGTTGCGATGCAAAGGGTCCTGGAGACCCTTCAAGACCCAGATGCAAACGTCCTGTATGTGGCTCCCTCAAAGGCTCTTCTTTTGTTCTTTTTGCGGTGGCTGGCCATGCGCCTGACACCTCAGGATAACACGGATACAGCTGGCCCCAAATTCGAGACGCCTGAGAAGGCGCTACGAAGGCTTTTGCTACTCCATGACCCGTACCAGAGCTTGATCTTGCCGGAACTTCAACAAGGACGTATCGTTCTTCACACGGACACAGTGCAAGGGCCAATGTCAAGCGGGGAGCTGATGTTTGATCTGGCCGTCTATGACGAGAGCCACAAGATATTCTGTCAGACCGTCGACCTGAACCAGACCCTGTTGAATCGCGTGAGAGCACGACGCGAGGAGCTCTTTCAACTCTTTCTCTCTGATGAGGCACAGTCGTCAGCCGTGCAGCATGCCTTTCCTGATGCCACGCATGTGAAGCTGTCTGAGGTGGTTCGAAACACCGAAAGAATCGTGCAGGCTGCTGCAATGTTCCGATACAGCTCCGATCCGACAGAGAATGTAACATCTTTCGGAAAATCGCTGGGACCACCACTGAAAACATTTCTGTTTGCCCCGGACGTTGACAAGCACAAGACTTATGCCAAACATGTCGTTGCAGCCCTGTGGCATGCAGTCTGCATGTTTCCGGACATGAGCTTCCATGGCCGCATTGCAATTCTGGTTCGCGACCAAAAATTTCGCCGTGAGCTTTCTAATCACTTGCAGCCGGCACTAAACGAAGACATCCGCCATCGTCGCTTTGAGACAAAGTCTTTTGCAGAGTCATTGCTCCAACTTCCCGAGCGTCTCCTCCAGACCTCACCGCAGCAGCACCGGGAATGCATTGTATTAGATGCTCTCGACAATGCGGATGGCCTAGAACAGCTGATAGTCATATGCGTTGGACTTGATGAGCCCTTGAAGAAAGACTGTGATCAGAACCTCTGCTCGCAGCTGTACAGGGCGCTTACAAGGGCGCAGCTGCTAGCGATGGTTGTGAATGAGCACGTGCAGGGGGGACTCTTGGAGTTCCTTGGAGCCGTTCGCTTCTTTGACCGGAAGGTTGCGCGGCCCCCTAATTCCCAGGAGGCTGCCCAAAGGGCGATTGGAGCTGCTAATGTGGCGAGCAAGGATACTGATACGGCAGTTTCCTCAGTTCTCGTCCCAGGTGCTGAGGCAGATATGCTGACCTCGAGTCCGAGTTCCACCGGCGCGGCAGGTTCAGGGATGGGCACAGATGCCCGGGCCACGGGAGAGCAAGCAAGCAAACAGGTGGATCTTACCCACCTTTTCCAGGCACAGTCCACCCAAGGTGTCCAGATGTCTGACATATGGGATACTCGTGACAATGCAATTCCGCACGCGGACAGCCTGGAGTTCAGCCCTATGACGCAGGCTGGCAGAAGAGGGTTTTGAGATGCGATTGCTTGCTTGTTTTCCGTGGTTCAGGTGGATAGAGCACGCTAACACTTTCACCCACAGGTTGTTGGGCTCGGTATCTCGGGTGGGGAGGCTGGCATCCAGTGGCCTCAAAGGTGCAGTATTGATTCAACTGTCCATGTGAGGTATGCGAGAAGTTGTTCCTGACATTGAAGGATCCGGTCTGGACTGACCGGTCTGGTCCTTTCACAGCTAATCCGGCCGCTTGGGGGTTTAGGTCGTGGCTGCCTTAAGATTGACCATTAGCAAAAGGGAGCAACCCTCCCTCCCAAAAAACAACCCCCCCTCCAAAAAAAAACGCATTATCTCACATTACTAAAGCGGACCACACATTAAATGTAGTTGAAAACGTGTCCAGGGATGAAGAGCGGTTGCAGGACTAGCAAGACGTGTTGAGAGTGATTCTGAGCAGAGTTCTGTTTTCCTCCACCATGATTGTTTTTTTGAAACTCGGCGAGGCACAGCTTGAACTGACATCATGAACTGAATCCAGAATCTGCGTATGAAAGTCATGTCCTACAGATACGGGGAATCACACAGCTGCAGCTTTAGGATGTCGCAGTGCTCGCTTCTAGCCGCCTGTTGGAGATCAGCTTTCCTTCGTCTTCTCCAGCTTGACTCAGACTGCACTGCAAATTGAGGGGACCTGCTGAGACGACGAGGAGTGAGCCTAGACATTGGTAATCATGGGTATCCCACGGGCGGAGTGTGCGGATAAGCTTTTTTTCCTAGCTAGTCCACCATGTGTCCATATTGCCGCAAAGCTCTGTAGTCAGACACCGCACATTGCTCGTGTTCCAAGGTCTGGGCCTGCATGCCCGAGACCCTAACAACCCGGGCAAGTGTTATTGCGCGCGGATATATGGAGAGCGCGACTACCGAGTTTTTGGTTACCTCCGGGCCAATGCAGATGCCACGCCCGAACAGAAAGCTTTCGCAGAGCAGCGTGCCCTTGAAGAATGGGAACGATGTGGCAAGACCGCTTCATGGGGCTGCGCTTGGGTCGAAAGGTGGCAGTCAAACGTTTGCAGAGCTGTCACCAGGAAGCAGCGCCTTCTAGTGGCTTTTCTGCCTGGGCAAGTCGGACAGGGCAAAGTGCCCTTGCGCGACCTTCCAACGGCCAACCTTTGGGATGGAGTTGGTTTGAGAGCAGAACAGAAGGTACAAACTGCGATTGCGGAGGAGATGGGCTGGGATTACGAAGAAATCGATGCCAGTGATATTGTGAGGACTGCGTTTCCTGAAGGATGCCTCGCAGTGGGTATGAACGAGGCTGGTGAGTGGCGACGATGCAAACTGCGACAGGTGGCTTATGAGGACAGAACAATCTGTTGGGATGCAACAGACCTAGACTCCGGACGTGACTTCAAGGCCGCACGTGTTCAACACGTCGGGCACGAGATTTTTTCTATCATGGACACTGTTAGCCGGGGCCTGAGGGAGTCCCGCCACGGGGCTGGCAACGGTTGCAGGTGCAACTGCTGTTTCGCACGTATCGCCGCATCACCAGTCGCATCTATCCTTCGGAGTTCCAAGTTCCACCTTGCGACATTTGTCATGATTCTACAACCACTTCGTCGCGTCGACCGTTTGCTTGCGTGTCTGTATGTTGTCGTTGTGGTGAGGAAATAGTGTTCCGCTGGATGTGTAGCTGGATGTGTAACCATCTCCGAACGTCAGCCGTGAAGGTTTGCCTTCTCACATGCATTAGCAAGTTTCGGGGCTTTTGTTTTGATGCTGCTGCCGTGCTTGCAATGAATTTGTCAAGCAGCTCCAATTCTATGAAATGCATGTGTCCACCGGCATGCCATACAAGTACTCTCTGTACTCTTAACATTAATCGCAAGCATGTTGTTGTCGAGATCTTAGTGTGGCTCTAGACTTTACCACACGAAGCAGTGCCACCGTAAAACCGTGAAGACTCGGCCAGGTACGTTTCCACATTGGTATTGAATTTCATCTTTTCCTGATTTGGTTCCCTTTCGTCGGAAAGAGCAGACATATCAGACGTACTGCTTCGGAGAAGAACGCGATCAGTTCGATGGAATCCGTTTCAACGGCTGGTTGAACCGGCGTAGGGCTCGATCCCCTTTGTTAATTTCCTTTCCGGTCTTCCCTGGCATTAGAACGTGCTGTCTTGGTATAGAAGCAGCAGCAGCCGGCTCGGATACTCCGGATGCACCAAGGTCCCGACCATGTTTTCGATTCCGTATGTCAAGGACTCTGGGGGTGTGGAGGTGCTGCAGGTTGAGAAGTCAGTGGCCCCTTCTGGCGGCCATGCCCTTTGTTTTACGCTTCAGTGCGTCAATTCCCGAGCTCTCAACGAGTTCGGGCACAAAGTTATGGATGGCGACTTTGAGCAAGATTTGAACAGGAGGCTGAACAAGTATGGCTGGCATTACGAGGTTCAGGTCGACAAAACCAGCTTCGCAAAGCTTGACCTGGATCCGGCCGCAGCCTTACAGGGATGCAGCTTGCTGAGAGATTAGAGGGGCCCATCCTTCCACTCACCCAGAAAGAAATCGATTACACCTGAACCCTGATGCCCAGTATAAGATCAGTTAAGATGGGAAAGGTGTGGCATGTCGGCACAACGAATTTGTGAGCCGGTTCTTTGTTCATTCTTGCTTTCAGATCGTACGAACCTTTATACACCAAGCGCGTGCATTTTCCGTAACCTGGGTCTGCCGACAACGATTGCCAGCATTCAAAGCGAAGTGCTAGCGCAGCTACTTGAACGACCTGTCCCGGCAACCCCGATGTTTCTATGCCCCACATCAGAAAGCCAAGGGACAGTCACATACAGATGTATCGCTGGTCGCAATATAGAGTGACTGCTCACTACAGATGAAGCGTGAAGCTACGGCTGCTGTTGCTGTTTGTGACACTGTAGTGCAGCGCATGCTAGGCTGCTAGGACAGAGCTACAGCTACTCCACTGCATTGACAGGCCTTATGCTGTAATTGCAAGCGTTGCAGGACGCGGGTCGAGAAGCACGTGAAGTGTTGAGCCTGTGCCAGATGCTGGAGTGGCAGAAGCACGGCGGCAGGTGTGGCCAAATTGCGACGGCAAGTTGGAAGCTTTCATGTCAGTGGAGCTGCGACCAAGGAACGCTGACATGCAGTCTCTGCTGCAAGAACGTGCCATGGCAAACGCACGTTTGGAGGCTGAACTTCGAAAGCAGACTTCGCCACTCCAAACATGAGTTGGCTGTTGAATCCGCCTACACGGCGCCATAAGTTCAATGTCAGCATGTACCTGTGACCGCCCAAGATGGGAAGCACAGCGCCCTACAGAGGCTACAGTAATCCATGCTCTTCATCGGCGTTTTCCGGATCTCACCGCCGTGCACAGGCTTTGAAGATCACCACAACATCCCCCTCAGAATCAGAAGCAGAGAATCCGCAGCGAACTCAGTGGCAACTTGTGCAACCATGCGCTACAGCGGCCCTCGGAGCACCAATGACCATGCATTTGGGGGGGGACTCTGCACACTTGTTCTCAGTTTGAGAGCCGTACGCGACCTGCACCTGCTGAACAACTAAGTCCGATGCTTTCAAGCGTGGCCGGAACTTCGAGGAGGATAGGTGTAGCAGCTTTGTTGGCTTGGATTCTGCGATTCCTCGATGGTGCCGTTATGTGCCCTTTGCTTGACTACGCACTTTCTTGTTCAGTTTCTGTTGCCATCGCCCTGTCCTTCTCTCCCTCGCGAGACTTTGGAGATTGCTAGTTATTCTATCAATCTGCATTCCTGGACAGAGGTTGGATCTCTGATGTCTTAAGCCTATGTGTTCAAATCGGATCTACAGTCATTGTTCAGTTTTGGCTGCTCAGAGAACCAGCGCGATTGAAGTGAAGCTGCCACAGAAGGACAGCCTATGTTCAAATCGGATCTACTGTCAGTGTTCAGTTTTGGCTGCTCAGAGAACCAGTGCAATTGAAGTGAAGATTCCACGGAAGGAGCTGCTGCCCGGTGCGCCCAGAGACACTGCAGAAGTTGTCGTGCAGGCAACACCGCCCCAAACTGCTACTTCTGCCGGTCCTCTTTCTAATTCGACATCTTCTGTCAGCACTAAACATGAATGCACGAGATAGCGGCGGTGTCACGGGTCCGGTGCTTGGCACCCCTGGGTGCACTTGCAGCAGAGCGGACAGGCCAGCTGAGCCTGTGGGGAAGGCGGGCATAGCCATGGCTGTAGTCGTTGACATGAGTGTCACTGGCTTTGCATAGTGGTTGGGGGCGGTGGTTCCGTTTTCCCGTTTTGTTTTAGCTGAAGCCGTTTCGACGTTGCGATGGTGGGGCCGGGGATGGCGTGTGGAATAAATAGCGGGTGGGGTGCATAGTGGCCCGGGCTTGGGTGGGGTGGGTGTAGGAGGACGCGAAATCGGAACCACTCGTCCTTCTTAGTTGCCGCAACTATACCAATTCTTTGCAACAGAGCCCGACAGGGTGAGGAGTTTGCAGACTTCGATAGACCTCATGTTGCGGCTTGGAGAGCAGAAGAGCATGCAGGGCAGAAGCGTGGAGTCGGGGCTCCTGCTTTCGGGCTACAACAATGTCTACATCTATATCCCACATCCCTACAGCACTCGACCCTAAGCCCTTTCCCCTCGACCTTGCCTACCCGGCCTTTGAATCCAGAACCCGGGTTCAGCAACAATCGTGGAGCCAAGGGCGGCACCGCAGCACCGGCACAGACTCCGAAGCTTTCTGAGGGGAAGCGGAAGTCGATGCAAAGTTTCCTGCTAAGCAGGCCTTTCCGTTATTGGTGCATTTAGGCATGTGCATAGGCAAGTATGTATACTCTACAGTATAGTGCTTTACAGTAGAGTTTCACTAGAGTAAAAATCGTCTGAAGTAGAATAGTCTCGTCTACACTGGTCCGGTCCAGTCCCGTATCATTTGACTACACGAAACTTAAGTCTACCATACCATATTCTATACTTCATTCATTCCGCCACGCTACCATACCACC